AATAAAATAACCATATCTGTTTATCTTGTCAATTTCGAAGCAACAATATTCCTGTAACTTATACATGTATATATGTTCCATTCACGAGTTAGAAACTCGTACAAATATATTTGTTTTGTCAAATCCAGTCCAATCACTTTACACATTTGAGATATTTGAACGATCATTGACCCAACCAAAACATACATCTTGGAAATTGTATGCAATATATTGAATATCAGCTCACAGCCCCGAATAATAATAGATATATTCTGTATACCTGAACACGTGGGGCGACGACAGCCAAGGACGGTTGGGGGTCGTGCAAATCGAGCACGCGCACTTCGCTGGTCTCTTTGGACGACGTCGGAATGACAAGGAACCGGCCAGAGCTGGTTTTGAACACGCCGGCGGAGAAAATCTCGTCGTCCTCGGTGAATAGAGTCGTGTCATCCGACTGAGGCGCGCCCACCAGATGCGACCACACCTTGTGGCTGCGTTGGGCGGCGTCCTTCGTCACATAAAACAGCGTCTCGGCGTCCCGACCCCACACGATCCTGCCATCGCACCCTTCCACGGCCTTGTTTATGGTGTTGGTGGCCAAATCCTAAATTAAAAGATACAACCAAAACATGTCAACTAGATGTCCAGTTGAGGTTAACATCGAACCAAAAGTGCAAAATAAAATAAAAATTGCATCCACTGGCTGGTGCGTACAGTATATCACTAAATAGTTACAAGTTGTGTGAATCGGAATGTCAGGAACAGCAATGTCTGTAACAATTTGTGCCCAATGGAGCAACAAGCCAAGCAACTTGTCTAGTCATTTTGGAACTGGAGGTTCGAGTGTGTGTACCTTGATATAAATGTCGTACGTTTCGTAGCCCGTAAAGTCCACCGAGTACGCGAGCAACTTGTGGTCAGGACTCACTTCGACTCTGCGGACGCTACATTGCGCGTGGCCTTCCGCCAATTTGTTGACGTCAAGCAAGATTTCCTCGGCGCCATCACCATGACGAGGCTTGCGGTAGTGGATGCGGTACGCCTTGCCTTCTTCCGTGCCCGAGTAGTACACAAAGTCGCCGTGGGGGTACGGCACGTTCTGGTCGGTTTCCTGCACGTGGCTAAGCAACTCCTTGTACAACTCATCCTGTAGACTGTCCAAGTGACTCAACGCCGCCTTCGTGTAAGCATTTTCGGCCTTCAAGTGATCCAAGATTTCCGTGTTGGAGCGATTGTCGTCGCGAACGTAATAGTACGGATCTTCGAGGTAGATGACCGGTTCCATCGGCTGCTTGCCGCGGTTTTCGCCCGGGACTTTGCCAAACGGTACATTCTTTGGGCGCTTCTCAAGCACCGGAGGCGTCAGCGAGGCTGTCGTCGTCACAAATGCCAGAAGTAGTAGCCCACGCACAAGTAAGCCCAAGTTCGCTTGCATGTTCGTTGAGCGGGGGGAAGTCAAATGCGAAAATGGCACTTACCGGAGAAAAGGTGTTTGAGTTTTATTCAAACCCAAAATTGACTTCAAGTTGTTGGTTTTGACAACCAGACGTAGCTTAAAGTTGGGATAGACGGTGCCTTTTCGCGGGCCAAACCCATAGGTTCATGTCGCCACAAAGAATATCACTATTCTAGGGGCCATTTGGCAAGATGCATCAGATAGGACAAGAGGAGTGTTGCCTGAGTTACGAAATCATTTCGCGTGTTCTTATTACTAGTATATCTTAGTTAAATGCAGTGCAAACCAAAACACCACACCCAGCTAGGGGTTAAGTAAGTGCATTTCAATGGTTACCGTAGTGATATGTAGCTAACTATGTACTGGTGATTTAACCTACCTTATCCGGGAATAGAAACACTGCTACGTAGTACTAGTAAGCAACAGTAGACCTATTGACGTATGATCAAGCCTCCAGTCAGTGGCCAATTAACATTATGCAAGGCGTGCTTACAGCTGGCGCCTTGATCATTCGTCACGAGGTTTAGTCATGCACTGACTGAGGTCTACTGGGTTTTGCAACGTGGCAACTTGGTGCAATCAAAAATGGGTGCATTTTAGGATTTTGTTCTACCTAGGCGTGTGCACTGAATTTGTGCAATTCTGTCTAAGTTTTAGTCAAATGTAACGAGTTTTATTAGTTAAAGCTCGCCACACATCATAGAATTACTTTACAAAGTAATGCAATTAGGTAAGAAATCGGATTTCTTCAATATTGACCATTGGTAGTACCTCGATCTCTTTTTGGAAAAGGGTCACTACATTACAAAAACATCTTACTTTTTTGGCGAACTGTGCGGTATTTGTCAGTTTGAATGAACTCTATTTGAATGATGAGAATATGACAAAATACTTTGTGTCATTCAGTCTTTGGGTTAGAGGTCTAGTGGAACAGTTGCTCTGATAAGTTTTACAGGCTGCTTGCTGGTCGTTTCTGACTTGGTGACATGCGGTTGCTTCTCAGTACGTAATGTATGTGGTCGTGACACTTGCCTTGAATAAGTACATCAGAGCAACAGAGCAACAAATCCACTGTTGCTTACGTAACCAGCAGGCTGTAAATCTTATCCGAGCAACTGTGGAACAGTTGCTTCCTAAGAATATCACTATTCTAGGGGCCATTTGGCAAGATGCATCAGATAGGACAAGAGGAGTGTTGCCTGAGTTACGAAATCATTTCGCGTGTTCTTATTACTAGTATATCTTAGTTAAATGCAGTGCAAACCAAAACACCACACCCAGCTAGGGGTTAAGTAAGTGCATTTCAATGGTTAGTGATATGTAGCTAACTATGTACTGGTGATTTAACCTACCTTATCCGGGAATAGAAACACTGCTACGTAGTACTAGTAAGCAACAGTAGACCTATTGACGTATGATCAAGCCTCCAGTCCATTACATGTAGCAGTGTTTCTATTCCCGGGATAAGGTTTAATCACCAACCAGTACGTAGTTAGCTACATATCGCATTATAACATTATGCAAGGCGTGCTTACAGCTGGCGCCTTGATCATTCGTCACGAGGTTTAATCATGCACTGACTGAGGTCTACTGGGTTTTGCAACGTGGCAATTCGTCAAAACAAGTACACATGCCTATTTAGACATATTAATTCTAGAACACCAGATTGCTACCATATTCAGCATCGCTGTTCCAACCCAAATCAGAAGCACTGCCACCCACAGCACTCGCAAGGAGAGCGCTCTCAGCAGCTAAGATAAGAGTCAGTCTCGCTTTGCGTTTCGTCCTGTAGGTACGAGCAGACGTCTTTTTGCCCTAGTCCTTCTTTGAACCGATTGAGGACATGCGATTGATGTACTGAGAATACACTTCCCCGTCGTCGGCACGCAGCGCATATATTCGTTTGTCAGCGCCATGCACGTTTGAAACA